TCATTTAGCCGGATATAATATATTAAATTAGAAACATCTTGGTCATAACTAAAAAATGCTTTGGACAGATGGCTGTTTAACCACGGTGATCAGAAGAACACATTTCAGGCCGTCCTCTGTGTACCTTGTCCCATGAGGGGTGTATTAGCTCTTCCAATGAAGGTTGATAAAATAGCTGATAATGGCAAAAGCATAGCAATTGTCACCTTCCCTCCTATCCCCTCTTATTTATTTTCTGGCTCACATTGCAATTCATACCACTACAGTGTATCTGACTTAGATGTTGAGTGTTCTGTACTCCTTCATTAAAATTTAGCTCAAATCTGCGAAATAAATATTAAGAATAGTACTTGCATTTGATATAATGCCTTGCACGTCAACAGGACGTCTCAAAACTGGATTTACAGTAAAGTGCAGTGGTCATGTCTTTGGCAGGCGAACAGACTTATTCTGAAATATGAGGAGAAATATTACCTGGGGAGCATGAATTTATTATTGCTTATTTTAATTAATTTCCTTGCTTGGTTTTGTGAACAGATTTGTGAACAGAGTACCGAGGCTTTAGATACAGGTTGAGTGAAATCTTTCAACTGGGAAAGAATTGTTGGAAGTTAAAGCTGGTGCTGAAGTCAACTTAGTGGTTAAATTGCAAAAGGTTAAAAAGCTTTTTTATTGAAGTGGTCTCATACTCACTGTGGGATTTCATTGGTTGATTAGCAAACAATTAGTTTTTTTTAGATGTTTGGCATTTAAAAATGAATCAAATGATATCTCTGAAAAAATTTAAAGGCTTGTTCAAGGTAATATTAACAAACACAGAGTGCAAGATACTGATCATTTATGAGGGTGTGTTTAGAAATAAGGTTTCTGAGCAAACAAAACTGATATTTAAAAGTTACTGAAAGGAAAATAAGTTAACTCTTGTTCTTGAGGTTTACAGTAAAGGGACGAGATAGATTATTTGTTGTGTTCTGTATCTAGCATTTAATTATAGATTACAAAAAAGTTTTATTTTTAAATTTTATGGCAAATTTTGGGGCATGGGTTTATCACATCTTGTGGAGTCCTGTAGCTCAGTGGTTAGAGCACTCGCCTCGCAAGAGAGAGAGGACTGGGATTCGATTCCCGGTCAGAGCAAAACTTTAGACAAGCTTCTTTACTCTACACGCCTCTGTTTACCTCGCAGTAGGTAGGAGCATGGTTCTTACTTGATTGGTGGATAGCTTTTCCGGGGGTAATAATCCCTTCAAAAAATATATTAATTTGGTCACTCAATCCATGACTGTTTGTGGGACACTGCTGTGCACAATTGGCTGCCGCGTTTCACCCACAAAATATTACAGCCAATTCACTTTACATATATTCTTTGAAGCGCTTTGAGACATTTCGAAGATGTGATAAGGTCCATATCAAATGCAAGGAATATTATTATTTTAATCAACATTTTCTATTTATTTTCATAGCAGTTATCAGTAGCTTTTATATAAATGGTAAAGCAGTGTGCGTGCTAACTAAGCATGGAGGAAATGGTTTTACTTACCCCCAAAAGGCCGTGGATTATGGCTGGATCCATTCACATTTTCAAAACTGAGTTAGATAGCTATTTGTTAGGTGAGGGTATTAAGGGATATCGGGCAAGGGTGGATAACTGGACTTCAAGTACAAATCAGCCACGATCTTATAAAATGGTAGAACAGGCTCGAGGGGCTGAATGGCCACTGTGTTTCTACAACCCACCATAGCAGGTTAAATCCTCTGATAATATCCTTCAATTCAAATGTGGAATTTGTGCTTTATTTCACCAATTTTTCTCCCGTTCCTCTTACCTCCTGAAGGCAGGGGCTCCTTGAAGGTTCTGAGCGTGGACTTATCCTGTGATACTCAGCTCAACTGGTCAGGATTCATTTATTAAGCTTTGAAATGCCGGCACACTGTTTAACTGTTAGGGAATTTCGCAGCTGAGATCAATCCTGTTCTCACTGAAGGTGTTGATAATAGTAATAATGCTTACATTTGATATAGCGCCTTTCATGAAAATAAAGTTAATCTAGACCCAGGTGAAATGTCTCCCCACCAACAGAGTTCAGTGAAGTTAATCTGGGATCTGATCTGGGACTATTCTTTAGCCCACTTCCTCATCCTGCCTGACATCACTGACCAGGCATTGCAAAATGAAGCCCTCAGCAGTGTGACTTAGCCTCTCATTGGGTAAACAACAACCCGTAACAAATTACATTTGTATAGCGCCTTTCACGACGGGAGGATGTCCCAAAGCGTTGGACTGGCAACGATTTGCACCTGAGCTAGCCTATCTGGAGAGCCAACTATGTGTTTATTTGTAAAAATTACTATTGTCTGCAAATTTCATGCTGTAGCTTTCTATAAGGCTTCAAAGAAATAATTTAACTATTATTATTCCCAAAAATGTGCAACTAATGCAAATCTGAGTAATCAAATCCATTATTAAAATTGCAAACCATGCTATTCATCTGAGAAGTGCAGCATTATTGGTGGGAAGCTCACTAGCCTGCTTCAAACCCATTTTGATTGGTGCTCTAAAAACTGCAAACAGAATAGATGTAACTCAAACCAAATGCCTGATACACACAGGGTATATTTTATATATATCTTGAAATCTACAGCAACACCTCAGCAATTTGGTGAAATAGTGTCAGGCAGAAAATTACTTTGAGATAACATTAGAGGGAAAAATCTGTCTGCCACTCATTCTTTGGTAAATATTCTTTCCATATTGGGCTATCAACATCCAAGGGAATCTATAAAGTGAAGTGTCATTAAATGCAATGCAAAAAAAATGGTATTATCAATCAACTGGCAAGTAGTGGTTCATTGATTTTGCTCCATCTTGGCTCAAAACATGTGCTCATCTCCATCGGAGAGACCAGGGGATCAACGATGTGTTTGAAGCATCAACTTGTTTCTGTACTTTTAGGGGCTAATTACCATATGATGAAGATCCCACTGTGTGCACAACCGTCCGTTAAAAATGACATGACAGATATGAATTCATACAATACATGGGAGCTGCCAGAGCAGCGAGTAACAGGGCTGTGATTTCCTGTGATGGTGCTCCATTTACCTCACTATCCTGAGATCCCTCAGCTGTCACTCACTGAGGTTTTTGTCAGCTTTGCTGCTTGTTTTCTAGGGAAACAGGTGCGTTACTTGTCATTTCTTGTGCTGTCTTTGTGCCAAGAGCTATTTAAAAAGGTGTCAGCAGTCGCTGCCATCACTTAATAGGTATGTTATCTGCAGCATTTCCTGACACTGAGAGGGAACTGCCTACAAGTGCTTTACATCACAGACTTTCTGACAAGAGGAGGGATGTAAAAGAACCTGACTGTAAAAAAGACAAGAGAACTGCAATTGTGACATTCTGTTAACACTTACACAACTCCAGCTGATCTAAACTATAGAGCCCTAGCATACACATTTTTGTCAGATCATTATCCAAATTGTTTATTCTCCAGAACAAAGTAACTTTAGTTTGTGATTTGCTGATTTCTGTTGTGTTGCATTATCTTCACTGCATCATTCTACCAATTCAGCTATCAGGGATAAGGCCATGCACAATAAAGGATGGCGATAAAATGTGGATCTCAGCCCGAAGGAATGCAAACAATTTCAGCAATGAGTACAAGCCTGTAATCACTGGATATAATGGGTACAACAAGCCCTTTAATTAAAATAAATCTATATGTATATTTTAAAAATCTTCAAGGCACTCAGAACTTTTGTTGGGTATATATAGGTTATAATGGGTAAGATTATGATAATAATAATCATATTATGTGGAGTCCTGTAGCTCAATGGTTAGAGCACTCGGCTCGCAAGCGAGAAATCTGGGTTCTATTCCCGGTAGGGCGAAAACTTGGGCAAGTTTCCTTACTCCACACGCCTCTGTTTATCAGCAGTAAGTAGGAAACCGGGCTAGACGATTGGCCGATCGCTTTTTCAGTGATAATAATCCCTCAAAAAAAAAAATGTGATCACTCAACTGTTTGTGGGATGCTGCTGTTCACAATTGGATGCCATGTTTTGCCTACACAATATGCAATCAATTCTCTTTACAGTATATTCTGTGAAGCGCTTTGAGATGAGTAGAAGATGTGAAAAGCGCTATATCAAATGCAAGATTATTAATAATACATCTAGGCCATTTAGGAGTGAAACCACGGAGCATTTGTTTACACAAAATAATGAACTATTTTGTAAGATTATTCTTAATTATTAAACTAACCTTTTTACCTCCTCTTTTATGTTGTTAAATATCTTTGGTTTCCTATTTTGTTTCTCTATTTTCTGACTATTCCAAATTTGTTTTTTATCTTTCTTACTGTTAGTTAAACATCTTATTTATGTTGCGGCTTATTTCTTCCAGGTCCCACTGGACATTTTGGGAGATTAGAGCAACTTTTTTGTATAGATGTATATATACATATAATATATCATTTTCATAGACTCAAAACTAGCCTGACAGTCTGGATGTGAAAAGGTAAAAGACTAGTGATTGACAGGGCAATGCCATAGATGAAACCCTGTCAATCTCGTGTGCAATTTTCACATTTGAAATAGGAAGTGCGAGGTGTGAGCGTGTATACCTGCCAGCAGCCCCGTGGAGAGATCTCACCTGACATCCAGGATGTGTGGGACAGGGTCTATCTGATTCTAGTTATATATAACTGTGTAGTGCTTGATAGAGATACTGGGTCAAAAAGTTTCTTTGAAAAAGTTTCATTCCAGGAACTGATCCCACCAAGACAAACAACACAAAAACATTTATACCAGCAAAGTTGGGCAATGTATTTAATATGCTTCTGAATCTGGACTGTACATCCATTATGTTCTTGTGGTTGGAGACATCAGAAAAAATAAACTGATTCAAAAACATATTGTAACGTAGGGAGGATTGTGTTAAAATGGATGGAACCGTTACATATTTTACACTCAATCTGCTCTTTTTCCATTCAAAACCAAAGGCAAGGGCCTCAAGAGAACAAATGACTCAATGGTGTTCAGGGGGATTCGAGAATCACAGACAGAAGGTAAATCAATGAGTTTGGGCTGAACTATGTGGTCTGTTAACTTGATGCATTGTTCTGCCATATGGCCTAATTATATGTGCCGCTAATTGTATCCCCAAATGTTTATAATGTGCACCTTATAACAGTGGAATAAAATATTAGGCATCACAGAAATAGAATTTGGAACCAGTTACATTTTCCCATTCTGGTGATTAATACTGGGGCGAATAAAACCGTTGTGTTTTGCTGAGAGTAGTCTGGCAGCATTGTGATGTTTTAGTTTACTTTAATAACCTCGACCACAGCTACACTCGACTGGGGTATTTGGAACTTGTGCTGTTATTTTCTATTCCAAAGGATGTACCATTTTCCAGATGTATTTGTTGATTCTCTTTTTCCGCACTCAGTACATGTCGGACTCTTATTTTGTTTCCATACAAAATTCCCAATTGTAAAGCTAAACAAAAGGTTAATTGGACAATTAAAAGGTCACTGTGGCAGCGACAGCTGACTTTTAGAAGTTAGAAACTTCTGTGTAAAAATAGAGAGCAACAAGGAGTTTAAAATAGCAACCATATGCCACCACCACCTTTGCTGCAATAACATCGCGCACAAAATATACACTTGACAGTATAGGTTGATGGTGTGGTCGAGTTGATCATGTGACCGGCTGTTTAATCACATTAACAATCAACGTTAAAATGTTCGAGCTCTCAACTTTAATTATTGAATTCAGTGTCAAAAGAACATACAGAAAACCTGCTTCAGAATGTGAGCTGTATTTAAGAATTTACCGAATTCTGGACCCTCTGAAATGCCACAAAAATAAAGTAAATCTGGTGATTTCTTCCCAAGTACAGACAATGCCAATAAACATTTCAACCCTGGTTGTGGGTCAGAAAAATAAGCCCCATCTTCCCTCTTTACTGACAGCAACGAGGTGGCTTCATACCTGGCAGTCTCACAGTATGAGAGCCAGACCTCTTGGGGGTGCAATGACATAAGAGCGTTAGATACACGAAGCAAAGGACCCCCAAAGATTAAAGCTTTATAACTATAAATTGATAATAACATTATGGGTCTCAGCACTGCCTGAATTCCACTTCATAAATTACTTTTTGTTAGTAATTATATTATTATAAGGCATGAAGAAGGCATTGTATTGAACCTTATCATAACTGGTTAGACTAAATAGATAGAAATATTCAAGAGGAAATGTTGTGTTTTAATTACTGAAGTACAGAATGCATTCCAAGGTCATGGTTAGTGACTGCAGATCTGAACAGAAAAAAAATAACAAGTCTTCTGTAAATATGTGGCACCAGCTGTCTGCTCGTACAAGACATTGTTGGGTATTTTAACACAAATTAATCATGTATACTGACAGTTGCTGGTGTGGCATTCTCTGCTAAACTTATCCTCTTTAATTAAAAGTGGATGCTCAGTCTTCAGACTGACAGTCTCTGGATATGTGTGTTGTTTAATTGAGGCCAACAGTATGTCTATTCCACTGTGTCTGTATTTAAGCACTCCTTAGGTTTTGCGTGGTTGTCGTGCTTATAAAAAGATATGGATATCGAACAGGGCAGTGGTGATGACAGAAAAGGTCATCGGCATGCAAACTTTAGCTTTCCTCGGGTTAAATTGAATGCTTAGCTTGGCTTGTTAATTCAATAATGATTGATTCAAATATCTGAGCGTAGATATGAAATGTTATATTGCAGCCAATAAGTCTAAAAATGTTGATGTATTTTGTTAATGTTCAATAACAGAATAATTACTTTCTTATTGGAGTGTATTGGGGAGAATTTTCACCTATCAATACATGTCCAACCCATTGTGTTTATGCTGGGAAACAAAGTATTTCTCCAACCCACATACCACTGTTGCTTCACATTATTTGGAGTGAACAAGGACAATGTGTAGTAATTATCACATTGACAAAAATTGTGGGTTCAAGTGTTTTGGTCTAAATCTCTCTCTCATTCCCCCCCAATTTCAGCCCAATACATTGGACCAAGGTCAGCCTCTGACTCTGACCGCTGCCGTTGTTTTGGAGTTAGGCCAGTGTCCTGAGCAGCAGCAGTCAAATGGCTTTTTTCGTGGTGGCTACAGCTGTGTTAAACAGAAGCGAAAGATGTTGACCTGTTTCATTCCCATGGTGATGCATATCTCTATGAATAGGTCATCATCCCATCTTTGGTTCTTTGCATCCGTGACTTCCCATGAAATGAGTTCTCTATCTCAGTTCTATGGTTTGAGGTGGCAGGGAACAGGCAGAGAAAGGAAAGCAGTCTGCTGTCTGCTTGAACGTACCTCCAAACAGCCAGAATACAGGCTTGGAAGCAGATTGCCTACCTACATTTTGAGCCAAGATATATGTGTGGTATAGTAACTGGAAGAATAAGGGAGGGGGAAAGCTTTGCAAAAGGAATACAGATGTTAACGTCTTGAAATTAAAGAATAATAAAAAATAATCTTTGCATTTGGCATAGCCCCTTTCATGTCCTGAGGATGTTTCAATGCATTTCATAGGGTTTACTGTAAAGTGTAGAGCTTGTCGTGTATTTCTGAAAAAATTCACTAATCGTGACATACTTTCAGTTCACTTGAGTTTGTAAAATGTGTCGTAAAATGTTTTATTTAGTTTGTCCCACTGCAGTAGAGCGAAAACAGGAAGTAAGAAGAAGCACATTCACTGAGCAGTTTGCTATTGTCACTGATGACCAAGATAATAAAATTAGTGCCATATAGTGTTTTTTGTAGTGTTTCCTTTGGTGTGAATATGTTCACATGTTAGCAAATTCACTACTAATAGGCAAATAGAAACGAAAAGCAATCTCAATTACATCAATTCCACTTAGTGTGTTGTAGGTCGGGGGGGTCTAATGTTTTGGCTGCTGAGTTCTGAGTAGGATGTTCTACTTGATAAACGTGCACATACCGAAAAAGCTATTTTTGTTATGTTTCCAGAAACATAACATAATATTTACAGTTTATGGAGGGATCGGGTGGGCCAGATGAAATTGAGGGTGGGCGGGGGGAAGAAATCTTGTAATTTGTGCTTCTGCATAAATAAGAGATTTACACGATACAAAACGAGACCCAATCAGTATCATACGCCATATCAGTACAAGCCCCAGAAGAGTTCTTCTTTGTATCAGGTTCACTGTACCAAGCGAGCAGAATTGACTCACTGGATTGTTATTTTTCAGACAGAAGGTACATTTCGTTTATTTGGAGGAATACCAAAACTCCATCCAAGACTTCCCTATGTTAAGTATATATGGGATGTAACCTTGTATGAACAGGTTCTGCATAACTGTGGGCTGCAATAAGATATTCAGTGTGGGTCCGCTGCACAAATATGGAAACTGAACTAATAAAGGCCATACTATCATTCATAAAAGCAACAGGAGTTTATTGAGATTATTATTAAAAGTTATTTCTGGGATGAGGAGGGAAAGAAGCGGATATGTGGTTACAAATAATCAAAAGGCACCAAACAAGAGATGATATTGGATTAACAGACACAACATCATTGAAAATTGACTGCGAGAAACATGCTGACTTCTAATTTTATTTGCAACTGATAAGGAAGAGACTTTATTTTAACCCTATTTTATTTTAAAGTCTCTTCCTTATCAATTGCAAATAAAATCAATCTTGTAGTTTTTCTGTTTCTGTGTTTTTTTGTTTAAAAAAATTATAATATTTGGGGTAAACTGAATTGTTTGTAAAACTAACAGAAATTGTATTGCATTTTCCATAATCTCAATTTTCACTCTTGACTTCTTCATAAATACATATAATTAAAATAGAATGTATTTACATGAGCCTCAGTACAATATGAATTTTTGCATTTTATTTTTATTATTCATTTTGCTTCGTAATATACTTAAAATAGCTTCATACTTCTTGAGAGGTGTATTGTTGTCAATATAATTTGCATGTACTTCTCGTCAGCATATGTCAAACGATATGGGAAGATTTTTAATTAGCTAGATCTGGCGAATGTTATTGGTTCTGCAAGAAATCGGACCATGAACAGATTGTGCTGGGACTAATAGTGACATATGGGGAATGGGTTCTGTGAATGTGCAGCACACTTCCTGCAGAGAGTCAGTGAATGCACCAGCCCACATGACGGTGTGTGCAGCACACAAATAAAACACAGATTGGTAAAGGTCATAAACATGCGTAGAATACAGGCAAGCCTAGCTCGCTTTCATGACTCACTTCGGAAAGGTGGTTTGCACTTTCCAAACAAATTTACAATGAAACTCGGTGTGTGTGCGTGCAATTAAAGTGTCACCTGGAACACACAACACAAAATACCATTTCTACTGTATTTACTTGGTTGCCTAATGAAATAACTCGAACTTAACTACAGCAAATAGCAATTTTATCAAATGTCAAAAGCACATTTGAGCCCTATTACTTGGGTAATGGTGTATTTCCGAGTATGTGGTAAAGCTGCCATTTTCTGCAGTGTAGCAGAAGCATCTGTCTAGTAACCCCCAGATAGGCAGTATGTCGTCTTTTTCCTGTAGTTTTTATTAAACATTGTATTTAAGTTAACTGGTAAAATTTGGTGTTACACAAGTAGCCATGCTACTGCGTTTTTCTTTGTGTGTTTTTTAAGGAAAGATCAAATGAACTAATACCCGATAAAGCAGAGTTATTAACACAATGACGCTTGTTAAGGGTTGCCCAGGAGCTCTTCGAGATTGGGGGAAGGTTTGAAATGTCACTGCTGAATTAGTCTAAGTAATGTAAATCCCTCTGGTTCTATGATTACAACATGCAATCTGCAGAGAGCTGCAATTTGTTTCAGTCGATAATCAATACTTGGCAGAAAAATACTGCTTTGCAATGTATTGTTAAGGGACTTCAAAATAAAATGGGAACCCAGATAATTGTAGCAAGTAAGATTCAAAGTCATTGATGGAAGTTTCTTAAGGCCAGAATATTGACATTTGTACAGTGCAAAAAAAAACACAGAAAGCTATGCTAATGCA